AACTACATAAATGACATAGTTTAGGTTGAAAGGAATGTAATACTGCAGCACCATAAGAAGTATATCAATTGGAGCAAATCACGGAAAAGATGTCACTTTAAAAAGCATTAACAGGGTGCCTGTGTGGCTCAGTCAGTTAAGCAGCCAACTTCTGATTTCAGATCAAGTCATGATCTCAGCGTCCTGGGATCAAGCCCCATGTTGGGCTCCACATTTAGCCTACTTCAGGATTCTCTCTCTCCCTCTGCCCCTCCCTCTGCTGCTCACACACAGGCATACACTCTCTCTCTCAAATAAATAAGTCTTTAAAAAAAAGCATTAATAAAAATTAGAACAGGAAGAAGGTAGACTCCAAAACAAAAGACTGTAGAGGAAAAATAAGACTTCACAGAATAAATGATAGAGAGTTTGAAAAATATTGAGTACAACATAAAGGCAAATAAAATGGTAGGCAATTTTTAACTTCAGAGAAAACAAAAACCTATGCATAAAAAGAAATGCAATCATAATATATTACTCTTCTGTAAACATTTGTTTTAAATTAACTTAAAAACAGAGCTAGGTAGATGAGAGAAAGAAGTTGGAGAAATACATAAGAACCAAATTCTCATTAATCATACTAGGAAGTCACACTTTTTAAAGTATGCAATATAAGCATATTATTTTAAAATATAGAGGAAAAAAAGGGAAAGAACCATAAATCTGGTCTATTTGCACTTTTTTATAACAAAGTGACTTTTTTGTAGCTTGGTTTTACTTTATTATCAACATAAAATAATTGAATAATAATGGCCTATGTAGTACTTGTCTCTCATTCCCTTACCTCTATTTCCATAATACCTAATATATGACTGACCATCCAATAATTTAAAAAGTTCTTGTTGGTTGAGTGGCCAATGTAAAAATGGGATGAAGATGTCTTGTAGAGTTATAGAATTTTGCACTAGAAAAAAATTTAGAAATTATATAATCCAGTGCTTCCCTAATTGGTATTCCATGGAATTCTGCTTCTTGTAATGTTAATAGCACACTGCAAAAAGTGTTTGGAGCTCAAAAAAATTTGAGTAATCTCATGTATAAAAAAATTAATCAGGGGCTCCTGGGTGGCTCAGTGGTTGAGCGTCTGCCTTTGGCTCAGGTCATGATCCCTGACGGAGGGATCAAGTCCCACATCAGGCTCCCAGCGGGGAGCCTGCTTCTCCCTCTGCCTGTGTCTCTGTCTCTCTCATGAAGAAATAAATAAAATCTTTAAAAAAAAAAAAATTAATCAGGTGCCTTCACTGTAGGAGGCTTTACTGTTAATACTGTTAATATACACTGGGAATCCCACAAGGGCAATTTATTATGTAGTGTTTCTTGGACTTGTTTCATGAAGCAAGCCCCTGCTAATATCTATAGTAAGGAATGGCTTCTGGAGCACTCTGATCTAGTCTACTACCCTCATTTTACAAATGGGGAAAGAGAGTCTCTCTAGATTTGTTCAGGTCTGGATAGCAGAGAAATTAGAAAGAAAGGCTTCAGGATTCTGCAGCAATCTCCAGTTCTTGAACAACTCTGGCCTGTTTCCTCAGCCTTTCATCACGTACCTGAATTACTTCAAACTAGGAAACAATGTCAGACACAAGTATCTCCTTTATAGATCTTTAAAGATTTTTCTGATCCCTAAGGAACTTAGGAAGTGAACCCAAGTGTTAGCTGGAGCTCAAGCCATAAAGTCCCAGGAAAAGAGCTAAAGAAAGTTTCAACAAACATAAAAGGCTAAGTTTCAGTGGCAAAGAAACCCCAAATTGAGCAATGGCAATATGAATAGACCACTCACATTTGTAGTGTTTTCCAATAAGTATATAAATGCTTTTATAACATCATCTCATTTGATTCTCATAACAATCTAATGAAAAAAGACAAGGACGGAATTATCATCCCCATTTTATGGAAGAGGAAATGGACTCTCAGAGAGTTAAATGCCTTGCCTGTGTTATACAGCAAGCAAATGGGCTCACATTAGGGCTCATAACAATCTATCATACAAATTGGACAAATTTTGATTGAGTACCAGTTAACTCTTCCATAAAACATCCAAGCTGGGCAGCCCAGGTGGATCAGCAGTTTAACACTGCCTTCAGCCTGGGGCCTGATCCTGGGGTCCCAGGATCAAGTCCCATGTTAGGCTCCCTGCATGGAGCCTGCTTCTCCCTCTGCCTGTGTGTGTGTGTCTCATGAATGAATAAATAAAATCTTAAAAAAAAAAATCCAAGCTGTTCCTTTTTAATGACTTAAAAAGAAACAGATCAGAGGCACCTGTGTGGCTCAGTTGTTGAGCGTTAGCCTTTGACTCGAGTTGTGGTCCCGGGGTCCTGGGATAGTGTCCGCATCAGACTCCCTGCAGGGAGCCTGGTTCTCTCTCCGCCTATGTCTCTGCCTCTCTTTCTGTGTCTCTTATGAATAAATAAATAAATAATCTTTAAAAAAAGAAAAAAAGAGGGACTCCTAGGTGGCTCAGTGGCTGAGCATCTGCCTTTGGCTCAGGTGTGATCCTGGAGTCCTGGGATCAAGTCCTGCATCAGGTTCCCCATGGGGAGCCTGCTTCTCCCTCTGCTTATGTCTCTGCCTTTCTGTCTGTGTCTCTCATGAATAAATAAATAAATAATCTTTAAAGAAAGAAAAAAGAAACAGATCAGTTCTCAAAGTGCTCATGGGTGGTGGCAGAAACACCCCGATTACTGGAACTTTAAGGTCCTATTTGGGTTCAGTATAGTAATACCACCTAGAAGTTATGTTGCTGGAAGGAGGAGGTCTTAAAAAGTTCCCACTGTAAGGGGGCACCTGGGTGGCTGGGTAGGTTAAGCGACTGACTCTTGATACCAGCTATCGGTTCCAGGGTGGTACATTCAAGCCCTACATTAGATTCTGCTAGTGTAGAACCCATTTAAAAAAAAAAAAAAAGTTGGGCAGCCTGGGTGGCTCAGTGGTTTAGCGCCGCCTTCAGCCCAGGGCCTTATCCTGGAGACCTGGGATCGAGTCCCATATCGGGCTCCCTGCATGGAGCCTGCTTCTCCCTCTACCTGTGTCTCTGCCTCTCTCTCTCTCTCTCTCTCTCTCTCTCTCTCATGAATAAATAAATTCTTAAAAAAAAAAGTTGGGGCACCTGAGTGGCACAGTCAGTTAAGTGTCTGACTCTTGGTTTCAGCTCAGGGCACGATCTCAAGGTTGTGAGATCAAGCCCTGCATCAGACTTTGTGCACAGCATACAGACTGCTTAAGTTTCTCCCTCTCTCTCTCTCTCTGCCCCTCCCCCACTGTGCTCATGGCTCACTCCCTCTCTAATAAATAAGTAAATCTTAAAAAAAAAAAAAAAGTTCAGGGGTGCCTGGGTGGCTCAGTCGGTTAAGCCCTTGGGTCCTGGGATCAAGTTCCACGTTGGGCTCCCTGCTGAGCAGGGAGCCTTTTTCTTGTCCCTCTGCCCCATACTCATGCTTGCTCACTCTCTCTCTCTAGTGCTCTTTCTCTCTCAAATAAGTAAAATCTTTTTTTTTTATGTTTTTCTTTTTTTTTTTTTTTATTTATGATAGTCATACAGAGAGAGAGAGAGGCAGAGACACAGGCAGAGGGAGAAGCAGGCTCCATGCACCAGGAGCCCGACGTGGGATTCGATCCCGGGTCTCCAGGATCGCGCCCTGGGCCAAAGGCAGGCGCCAAACCGCTGCGCCACCCAGGGATCCCAAATAAGTAAAATCTTAAAAAAAAAAAAAAAAAAAAAGTTCCCCTGGGGAGGCACCATGATGTAGAGTTACCAGCAAGGAGTCAAACAGATTTGGGTTTGAACCCTGGCTCTAATACTTACTTACCCTCTTTATTCACTATTGTAACCCTCTGTGCTTCACGTCTTCACCTATATTACAAAGCTGCTGAAAGCTAATGTAAAGAATTAGAAGGATAGCATAGTGTCACAGTTATGAGTGTAAATTCTCTAACTCTACTACCTGGGTTTGAATCTCAGCCCTACTTCTTATTAGCTGTATGACTTTGGATAAGTCACTTAACACTTGGAATTTATTTTCACATATGTAAAATGAGGAAAACAGTGCATTCTTGGTTGTTAAGAATCAAATAAGGTATTTGTTAAGCATTTGAGCACAATGTCTAACATTATAGGGGAATGTCGTTGAAAAGATATGACCACTGATTTACCTGACAGACCCATGAGTTGGACCCGTAGGAGGCTTCTTACTCCCTTCCATGTCCTTGGAAGGTGCGTTCTACTTGCTTTTCCTGTTCCCAGAGGCTATTTCAAGGACAAAGCTTTGCTGTGGTGATGTGGTGTTGAAAACACCTGCACAGTACTGAGCCCACTTAGGACCTCTTTACAGACTTTTAAGATTTGGAGGGCAAGTGCAACAATCCATTCATCTTACTGCTGCCCCAAAACAAGCCTTGTATATAAGTTTTCTTTGCTTATTAAAACTGCCACCTACCAACCTGGAGTGGCCTGTCTCTTTCTTCAGTCTCTCCCTGCCCTCTGTTTATGGGAGCTGGTTTCAAATTACACCTGGGAAACTCCAGAAAGAACTGTGAACTAAAAGGTACTACATAGCTCACTCACAGACAATGATGACGACAGTCGTCCTGGTAGGGAAAAATTCAATATCCATTTCCTCCCAAAGCAAAATGAGAAAGAATGCTACTCAGTCCTGTTTGCTTCTATTTACCCTCTCCCCTCTTTTCTCTCCAACTACAAGCCAAGAATACTAGACTAGAAATCAGGACACTTGGTTCTGAATGTTGGTTCAGTCACATACTAGTTATGTGATTTTACGGAAGTCACTTAACTCACTTGAGGTATTTTTCCTCATCTGAAATTAACAATACCTTACTTACTCTTCCAGGTTGTTGCAAGCATCAAATAAGTTAATATATTTTAAAGTACTTTGTGAACTGTGAAACACTATATAAATGTGAAGGGTGACTTTATCTGTCACAGACTTCAAGATAGATGTTTTTACCAGTAAAAAGCAACTTTATCTCCAAGTTTTTTCTCGTGGACAATTCGATCTAGTACGTTGTAGCAGATGTTAGTAGTTGCTCCTTTCATCCACTCGATGAAGATTTTTCCTTTAGTCACATCAAAATTGTACTGGAGGAATGGGCCAGGACACGAGGTCTTCCAGTAAAATTCCTTGGCAATGTCTCCCCAAAACTCTGCAACAGAAAGGAAAGCCCAGAAATCACTAAGATTCTCAGACATATGTATCCTCAGATGGCTTACTAGTCTATGACAGGAATAAGTCACAACTTCTCTGCCCTCCACTCCAGGACTTACCACCTAGATCTCTCCTCTATCGTCTAATCTTATCACCTACTACTTTCCTAACCTACCTTCTATTCCCATGAGCTAAATCTTGACTAAAATTTCTTCCTTCTCTCCTCAAAACTGCCATTCCATTTTCCATCATCTTTTTAAAAATATTTTATTTATTTGACAGAGCGAGAGCACAAGCAGTTGAAGTGGCAGGCAGAAGGAGAGGGAGAAGCAGGTTCCCTGCTAAGCAAGAGGCCCAATGCAGGGCTCAATCCCCGGACCCTGGGATCATGACCCAAGCTAAAGGCAGCCACTTAACTGAGCCACTGAGGTGCCCCCCATTTTTCATCATCTATTCAAATCATAGCCACCCAGTGCTATCATTGTGATAGCACTTAGTATATTGCTAGTATATCACTAGCTATACTAGCAAGTAGCTAGTATCACTAGCTACTGTGATAGTAGCTTAGTATATTGTAGTCAATCAGTAAATTTTTTTTAACAAATTAGTAAGTAAAAGGAAGAAATCCTTTACCCACAGTCTTCCAACATATGTAATATCTTTCTCTTAATTTGTTCATTCACTCTCGGCAATTATTTAATGAATATCTCTTTCTCCTACTACCTCTTGCCCAAGTGTTACTTGCTATGTGCCAAATGTTGCTTTAAGCTTTTTATATGTATTATCTCATTTAGTCTTGACCACAACCAGAAGAGGTAGGCTTCATTTTCATCCGCATTTCATTGATTTAAAAGTCAAGGCTCAGAGAAATTAAATAATTTGCCCTAGGTTAAACAGTTACAAAGTCAAGATGTGAACTGCCCTGAGGATGATAATTTTGCTAAAATCTAAATGACAAATAAGAATTTTTCTTCATTTCCTCACCAGGAACAGAGTCCCATTGGATAGAAAGGAACCAGGGGTATGTGTTAAAAGAAACTCCTTGAGGCTGAAGTACTAAGAGTAAGAGAAAGAATAGCAGGAATTGATGCACAAACTGGGCAGATCATGCAATCCTTCTGGGCATGATAAGGAATTTGATATTTATCCTAAGAGGAATGGAAAGCCATTGTAGGATTTCAAGGAGAGGGACATGATCAGATTAATAATCTTAAAATATTCCCCTGGCTGTTCTGTAGACAATGTATTCAACAGGTAAAACATGTAATTGCAGAGTACTTAGGATATTGTCAGTACAAAATCAGGAGCTAGAAGGGAAGGAGAGACACACTTAGAATCATAAGAATGAAAGGAACTTTAGAGATTATCACCCCTTCATTTCACCAATAACAAACCAAATTCATAGAGGCAAGTAAAGTGACTTGCTCAAGGTTACGTGATTCAGTTTATACAATCTACTTGGAAAGATAAGACTAACACATGAAATACTTTAGAACATGCAAGACAGGATATAGTTGAAACCTAAATCACATGGTGTACAACTTACAAACAATTTAAGGAATCCAAATTAAATCAATCCTAAGGTGCCATTATATACCTATAAAACTAGCAAAGATTTTTAAAAAAAGATCTAAAAAAAAAGAGTGGTGGGGCAGCCCCAGTGGCTTAGCGGTTTAGCGCCACCTTTGGCCCAGGGTGAAGGATTGAGTCCCACATCAGGCTCTCTGCATGGAGCCTGCTTCTCCCTCTGCCTCTTTCTCTCTCTCTGTGTGTGTGTGTGTGTGTGTGTCTAATAAATAAATAAATAAAATCTTAAAAAAAATGAGTGATACTGTAAAAGAGATACTCTTATATGATAATGGCATTGTAAGAAATTGTCATAATCTTACTGGATACCAGAGCAATGACTAATGAGAGCCATAAAACTTTTTCTATCCTTTCATCTGCTAACTTAATTTTGGGGAACACAATACAAAAAAAAAATGTCAAAGAAAAAATAAAGTGATTGCTAAAGAGATGTTTAAAGTAACACTATAACATTGAAACTGGAAACAACCCAGGAGCCCAACAATTAAAAAAAAAACTGATAAAAACTAGTAATACTACTAGTAGTATCACAGAATACTAAATGGCCACTAAAGAGAGAGAAAATGGGAGGTGGCATTTTAGTGAATACCGTTCCTGTACCAGTCATGGAGCTAATCTCATTGAATCTTTTTTTCAAAAAGATTTTATTTTTAAATAATCTCTACATCCAAGGTGTCTCACACTCAAAACCTTGAGATCAAGAGTTGCATGCTCTACTGAGCGAGCCAGTCCAACGCCCCTCATTAAATCTTTTTTTAATATTAAAACACTCATAATTGAAGAATTTTTATTTCATGTACAATGAGTTAGCATGAAGGTAGGTATCTTGGATGACCCATTCAAAGTTTGCCTAATCCAATTTAATTAAGTCTGTATCCCTCACATATAAACAGAAACACTGGCAGCCCATATTAAGGCTGTATTTCCCAATTAGACCACGCTGGTTTGAGCATAGGTGGCAAGAAGGAGAACCCTGGCCAAACCTCCTAAGATGGCTCCAGGAGAGCTGCTGGTGACCCATCTTGCTCTCTCAGATGCAATGAAGCAAAAGGCCTCAATGAATCTTTATATGGCCCTATGAAGTACACATTAATTATCCTACTCTTATGAGAAAACCAAAGAAAACCAAAGCTCAGGAAACATAGGAAACTCTCCCAAGGACCACATAGCTAGAAACCAGTATACACAATCAGGTCGGTTGTTACAACTACATCAAGTACATGTATATACTCAAAAACATTTTTAAGTGATAATAGTAGGCATAGATTAGGTAAAACTATTTATGAACCACATTTATGTGTATCAATAAGAATGAAGAAAACTGAGTATTATGAGCACTTAGTTTTGTTTTGGGGGGTTTTGTTTTGTTTTGGTGGAGGTGTTGAAATCTGGAGGTTTTGCTGACACATATTCTAACTACAGAAGAAGTTCAGAAGATTAAAAGATGAGCATGGACCGAATGATCAGGGAGTTGTGTAGAATTGGTGGAATTTGACTAGGTAGAGAGGAGCAGAAAGAAATAGGCAAAGGCAAGGAGATAGGAAAAAAACCTTTGTGTATCCAGTATATCAATGAGAATGACTTGTCTAGAATAAAGGGTGTGGTAGGAAATAGCAAGAGGTAAGAATAGAGAAGTGAGGTAAAGCTAATTATCCAGACCTTGAAAGAAATGCAGAATTTTAATCTGAAATTGGAGGAACCATGGAACTTGGAAGTTTTTGAAGTGACATATGAAAGTAGTATTTCCAGAATATCAATCTAATAGTTTTTATTTTAGATAACTCTAAAGAGAGATTGAAGGTGGGTGAGCCCAGGGGACAGGAGAACCAATTAGGAGGTTGCTTCCTTGAATTAAAAGGTTCTGTGGGAAAGGAAGAAAAGGTAATCAGAGACATTTTGAAAGAGTATTTAACAGAATTTTGTGAAATTCTGTCTGTTCAGACTGTGGGGTCAGGGAAAATGGAGAGTATAGCTATCAGTAGTATAGATTCTGTAGTCCAGACTACCTTAGTTCAAATCCCAGATCCACTGCTATGTAGCTTTGTGACCTTGTGCAAGTTAACCTCCCGATGCTTGTTTTCTTCTTTATATAATGGGGATATCAGTCTCTACATCAAATCAAACAGGATGTGTGCTGAGTATGCAGTAAATAATCTTAAATGAGATATGTAGATAGAAAAGAATCTATCTATGGTTGATAGATCTTTTTAGAGGAGAAGATGATGAAAGAGATTTAGTTTGGGATACTGCCATTGACAGGGATTAGAAAATTAAGGTGAAAGCAGATTTGGGAGAGAAAATTGGTAAATCCCAGTCACAGCCATGTTAAATATGGTCTAACATCAAGGTGTGTGAATAAAATGGTCTACAGACCTATGAAATTTGGGATCAGCGCATAAGTGGGATCCTGGGCACAGGGCTAAATATATAGAAGTTATTATTATAGAAATAGACATAAAACAAATGAACTCGGGATCCCTGGGTGGCGCAGCAGTTTGGCGCCTGCCTTTGGCCCAGGGCACGATCCTGGAGACCCGGGATCGAATACCACATCGGGCTCCTGGTGCATGGAGCCTGCTTCTCCCTCTGCCTATGTCTCTGCCTCTCTCTCTCTCTCTCTCTCTCTGTGTGTGTGACTATCATAAATAAATTAAAAAAGAAAAAAAAAGAAAGGAAGGGGAAAACAAGCTCTCCTCCTTAAAAAAAAAAAACAACAAATTAACTCATGATGGGGAAAAAATATAGAGAAGAGAAGTGAAAACAGGTCTGAGGATTCAAACTTGGACACTGCCTGTAACAGTCAACCCACTCTACCCTTGATTCAATCCTGTCTTGCATTACTCAGTAATTGTTTTGTCCACGTTGTTCTTATTGTTATCACACTAACCACCATTTATTGAATGCCTACTGTGCATCAGGCACTCAATAACGTAACACTCATCACCTGCTTTAGACCTCAAACAAACCTGGAGGCAAATATTATCTGCATCTTGCAGACAAGAAAAGGAATCACAGGTTTAAAACTCTGCTTAAGACCACACAGTGAATGAGCGGTAGACACAGGATCTAAATCTAGATTTTTCTAGGTTTGATTCATTGCCCACGCTCATCCCACTATCAAACACAGTGCTGCCTCCCAACTCCTTGACCCCTTACCCAGACTGAGGGCAAGAGCAAAGAATTTTCCTCACACATTCTTAAAGACAGAGGCCTATCTCAAAATTTCTGAGTTATGAAAATCCCAGCCTAACTTCTTTTTTTTAAACGTGGCATTTTAGTGACTTGTTCAGTCTCACGTTGCGTAATTTTCCCTGGGATTTATGAAACATGAAAAACAGATCTGGGACTCCGTTACTAATTTGGGGGACCCCAAGATGGGAACCAGACCGGCTACTGACCCTCAACAGTTGAGACTAAGTAACAGTAACACAGTAACAGTAAAAAGGTGTGAGGAGGCAACAGCTGAATTGGCGTGCAAGTGAGCAAAGAAAGTTGTGTGGCTCTTCTTCCCTCAGGGCGCCCCTTCACCTCTGAGAACCCATCCTCTCATGTTTGGAACGCTCCTTTTCTCATGGAACTTTCGCTCTCCTCAAGGAAGCCCCATCTCCTCACGAAATTTCCAAGTTGCCAAGGAACTCAACTCCTAGAGAACCCTCAGCTCCTCACAGAACCCTCCTCCTCCCCACAGAAGCCCCGTGTCCTCCCGGAACTCCTTTTCTATCTCCTCCAAGAACCCCCTCATCTCTTCACGGACCACGCCAAGCGCCCATTTCCTCACTCGTCTGGGAACCCCCACTTCTCCCCTCACTGACCCTGCCCAGGGCCGTCCGGGCCCCGCCTCACCTCGCGGCTGCTCCACCGAGCGCCGGTGCAGCTCGCGGTAGCGCTGCAGCGACGGGACGTGCGCGGAACGACTGACCTCGGGCGGCGGAGACCAACTCCGCACCCGGTTCCGGGTTCCAGCCTCCTCCCGCTCCCCGCTCCCGCTGCCGCTCCGGCTCCGCTCCTCCGGAAGCCCCATAGCGTCAAGCTCCAAGCGCTGTAACAGCCTTCACGGTCGCTCCTAGCGCCTGGGCGAGGAAAACAGGCTGGCCGAGGGGCGGGGCCTTAGGCGAGAAGGAGAGACCGGGCGGGCGGGGGCGGGGCGGAGGCAGACCCGGCAGTGGACGGCTTGGAGGGGCGGAGCCACGCCCGATGTGGGCGGGACCAGGGCTAGCAAAGACACCGATAGGGAGAAGTCGAATATTGCTTGAGGGCTAGGGGCGGGGCTGGCTGCGGAAGGGGTGGAGCCGTAGAGTGAGCAGAAGGGGCGGAGCCGGGAGTGACAGGAGAGGTGGAATTTTGGAGTGACAGAGGAGGGGAAGGGCCAGGCGTGACCGTAGAGGAGGTGGGTCCTCTCGTCATGGAGTGACGGGGAGTGGCGAGGCTGGATGTGACAGGAGAGGAGGGTGGATCATGGAGTGACCGTGGTCGGGTGGGGTCTTGGAGTGACAGATGAGAAGTTGGGTTAGGGCGGGGCTCGAGCGGGAAAGAACTGGGCAACGGAGAGGAGTTGGATCAGGCCCCTAATGGAGCCGCCCCGTGATCTGATTGCACAAGCCTGTCACCCCACCGAGTTGGAAAGCCAGGTGGAGTAGGGTCCTTTGTGGGTGACAGCCTTCCTCTCTGAGAACTATTCCCCAATTCTGAGTAAACCCTTCCCCTCTGTCCCCAGGAAAAACTCCTCCCACATTGCTGAGGGCACGGCCTGGGGACAGGATGCCCTCTCTGCTAACCTTGGGACCAGCTCAGATTTTCTCCCACCCCAGCCCAGATTTTTTTTTTACTTCTTCACTCTCCCTGCCTCCGCAAATTTCCATCCAGAGGTAAATTACAAGACAAGTGAAGACTAGGAGGCCCTTCAGGTCGTTGCTAATGAACCCACCTCCTCATTGCACAAGTAAACTCAGGGAAAGGAAAAAAACTTTTGCAAGGTCACAGAGCAAACAACAACCAGGTTAGGGCCAAACGTAGGTTTCCTGACTCCCCTTATCAGGCTGAAGGTAATACTTGTAAAATATTAAAGTCTATGCAAAACAGAAAAAATTGCTCACACCCTTCTTTCCTTCCCAATCTCTTTACTTCAAGAAACCTCTCCCACCTGCCACAACTGGGTTCAATTACTTCTGGCTTCCCTCCATCCTTTCTACTCCAGAAAAGTGAGGCCAGGCAGCACCCTCCATCTTCCACTTACACTCACCACCAAGAAGGGCCCACCTCACCCATCAGTTGACAAAATAAGCTATCAAAACAGGAAAGCTCCTTAGATATCTAACTCCAAGGGTAATTCTGAGGGTCAAAGAAGGGAGACCTCTCCTCCTGAAGCCTACACAGGGCTTGTTATCCCATCTGGCCCAGGCTTTCTTCCCACCTACTCCCTTGTTCTTTGCCCAGCTGACCACAAGTCTAACACAACCTAAACTGAGAAAAAAAACTCCCCATGGTCAGACCTATTATCTAGAACCTATCCAATTCTGAAAGGAAAGTCTCAGGGTTCCTACTCATGAAATAGACATGGACCCCACTGAGGAGACAGATATTTCATCAAGAAGGCATTAACTGCACTGAAGGGGCACACACTTTACTGAAGGGACTCCTTTTTTAAAAAAATTTATTTATTTATGATAGTCACAGAGAGAGAGAGAGAGAGAGGCAGAGACACAGGCAGAGGGAGAAGCAGGCTCCATGCACCGGGAGCCCGACGCAGGACTCGATCCGGGGTCTCCAGGATCGCGCCCTGGGCCAAAGGCAGGCGCTAAACCGCTGCGCCATCCAGGGACTGAAGGGACTCCTTTAAGGGAACACAGATCTTGCTGAGGGATGTCAGATCTCACTGAAGGGCGGTGGACCCTGCTGATAGGGCCTAAATGGCATTGAAAATCTCTGATTCTGCTGAGGGGACATGGACTTCCTCTTAGGAAATACAGAAGATATAGACTTAACTAAAGAGACATAGACCCCACTAGAAGACTCAAATCCCACCAAGGGGCTTCTCACTACACTGAGGAAATGGACACCACTGAGGGAGCACTGACCTCACTTAGTGGAGAGAGGCGCTACAGGGTGAGGTCAGAGTTTACTGAAGCGTAACAAGCCCAACAGACCTTCTGAGGAGAACCTCTCTGTAGGGATAAAGGCACAGGCAATGGACACACAGTCCTACTATATAGACAGTCATTCTCCTTCCTTCCCTCCTCAGCCCTGAGCTCTGGTCAGCCCTCTCCTCTCTTCCCTCCCCAAACCCTTCTCCTAAATCCTAAAGCTGTTCTCAATACACTGCTGCCTCCTGCTGTCTACAGATGGCACTGCAACTGCTGGGCCCATTGTAGAATTTCAAAGTTCCGCAGTCATTACCTGTGAGCCTAGATCCTGGGGATGGGGAAGGAGAGGATGTGTGCCCAGGAGCTTGACCAGCCCCTTCCCTCTGCCTGTGGACTATGCAGCAATAGAAATTCGGGCAAGAGGCCTCACAAGAGAGGGAGCCCCGCCATCCTTAGAGATGGAGTAGTCATGTAAAGTATAACGTAGCTGGAATTCCTCAGGGTGGGAAGAGAATGGACTGGGTCGGACGAGATGAGAACTCATGAGATTAAGGAAATAATAATAACAATAATCATAATTATGGCATTTATTGAGTAGATGCCACATCTTATACTAAGCACTTTCTAACACGTTATTTAATCTTTGCAACTATCTGAGATAAATACTATTATTTTCTCCATTTTACAGATGAGGAAACTGATACTCAATGAGATTAAATCTCTTGCCTAATATCTTTTTTTAAAGGATTTTATTTATTTATTCATGAGAGACACAGAGAGAGGGGCAGAGGCATAGGCGGAGGAAGATGCAGTCTCCAAGCAGGGAGCCTGATGTGGGACTCCATCCCAGGACCCTGGGATCATGCCCTGAATCAAAGGCAGATGCTCCACCGCTGAGCCACCCAGGGGCTCCAATATCATATCTTTTTGTTCACCATTGTATCCCCAGTCCTAGCATAGAGCCTGGCACATAATAAGTGCTTAATATAGCTTTATTGACTGATCAAGTAGTCAAAGATGTTATTGCTACCTTTATTGTTTAATCTTAGCTAATTAAGATATTTTCCTTTCTAGTCTATTGGATTCATATGTTGAGATTGCTAAATTATGTCTTTGGTAAAAAAAAACTAAGACTAGCAACTTTCATAGATAGCTCCTAAAATGCCCCTCTGGTACAGTGAATGATCTTAGAGTTCAAAGAGAGAAATAACCACTGAATAAATCACTAAGCCCTGTTGGGGCCATAATCATTTTTGAAGTAGCCTCCACTTTTAACTGATTTGAATTTTTGATAAGCAATTTTATTTGGAATTTTAAAGTTAATTTATCTATGAGTTTCTTGTAGAAAACTGATCTAAATGCATAGTGTTGTCAAATTTATTTTTCTGCATTCTGTTCATATATGTATGCATTTTCTACTTGGTTGAAATAATCTTGGTATAAAATAAAAAGGTTCTAAATCCATTTAATAAAAAATAAAAATAAATAAATAAATAAATCTCTTGCCTAATATCGCAGTTTGTAAGTGGTAGCACAGGGAATAGAACGCAGACACCTAGACTACAGAGATACATTTCTCTCCCATTTATCACCCTCCCATACACACACACACACACACACACTCCACCCCACTCCTGCCATACCACAACCACCATTATTTCTCTCTCCAAGTGTCCTTCCCAGGCCACACCAAACCTCTTAAAATGACAGTAAATATCCAGATTCCAGAGACCCCATCTCAGCCTATAAATCATGATCTCTATTTTTTTTTAAATTTTCATTTATTTATGATAGGCACACAGGGAGAGAGAGAGGCAGAGACACAGGCAGAGGGAGAAGCAGGCTCCATGCACCGGGAGCCCGACGTGGGACTCGATCCCGGGTCTCCAGGATCACGCCCCAGGCCAAAGGCAGGCGCCAAACCGCTGCGCCACCCAGGGATCCCTAAATCATGATCTCTAGAGAGAAATCTGGGGGTCTGCTTTTATTTATTTTTTGGAGGGGGGTCTGCTTTTAAAGATCCTAACGCACACTCAAGTTTGGACTCCCTGTCCTATGCTAATAGGTAGGGGTCCTAGAAGGGGTTGATTGAAAGAGGAATCTGAGAAGTTTTGGGGGTCAGGGGGGAGATCTGACGTCAGAGGAGAGACATCTGAGGAGGAATCTCTAAGTGAAGCAGTCTGGGGATGAAGTAAGGGTAGGACTGTGTGTGTGTGTGAAGGACAAGTCTATTGAAAGAGGGGTCTGGGGTCGGAGGAGTCTGAGATCAAAGTCCAAAGAGGAGTCTGGGGCCAAGGACAGGTTCGTGGTCAGTGGAAGAAGGTCTGTGGGCTGAAGAGAGAGTCTGGGGTCTGAGAAGGATTCTAGCTCAAACTGGACGGAGGAAGGGGTTTGGCCCTTGGGCTGCATAAAGTGTCCCTAGCCACTAAGGTCGCGCTTGCAGGGCTCTTCTCCACCCCCACCCCAGCCCCCGCGCGCTCTCAGGACCGCTCTCCAGGCCCCGCGCAGACCGCGCACCGCCCACCTGCCGGTCCACTGCAGGCTGACAGCGCTAGGGGGAGGGGTGCGCAGTCAGACCCCGAGGCCCGTGAGGGTTGTGTTCAGGCGCCCCCTCCTGGCTGCCCAGGAGCTCAGGCCCCGCCCTCCACCCCCACCCCCACCCCCACCCCCCCACCCCCGCTCCCGCCGCACCACTTCCGGCAGGCGCTGCGTTCCGGGGGGCGCGGGCGAGGATGGCGGCGGAGAACGAGGCCAGTCAGGAGAGCGCCCTGGGCGCCTACTCGCCCGTGGACTATATGAGCATCACCAGCTTCCCGAGGCTGCCGGAGGACGAGCCGGCGCCCGCGGCCCCTCTGAGGGGCCGCAAGGACGAGGACGCCTTCCTAGGAGACCCCGATACCGGTGAGGCCCGCTGGCCCCGACCCTGCCCCCTGGGACGTCCCCGGTCCTTCATCTGCGCGGAGCATCACCTCCAGTCTCCATCCCCCTAATTCATCCCCTTCCTCCTGGACCTCTCCCTTCT